TATTCAGCTCACCCGGCTGAGGAAAAACGGATGATTGTCAATATGTCATGACTAGCACTGGTACATGTTTTGGTACGGTTCTGGGTTCTCGGTTTTGGGAGGTAAAACTTTGGAGTGGCAGTCGATGTTTTGGACTGGACTCGGTGGACGGCGTTAGGAACAGCATAGAGGACTGGATGTGATGAGGCCTTGTCCTTGAGTTGATGAGGCTAGCCTGTAGCCAGATCAATACTTGGTTGTGTTAATGAAGAAACTGAGATACCAATATTTCCCTTCGTAATATGAGGCCATAGTCGTCATCAGTTGAAGCACAGCAACTAGGTTTCGCCCGATGCCTGGGTGCTTTTCTTTAAGTCTAAGTGGGCAGACAACTTTACTCTAAGGCCAGCCATGTTGAGCTGACCCCGTCGCTTTCTTCGAAATGTCAGAGGCAGACTAGTTAGACACGATTCTCATGAACCGTGAAGATGTAGTTCTCTGAGTATTCGGATATCCGCCTGTAAACGCGCTTGACCCTCCTCACACCTAGACCACCACTGCTCAAAACCACACGATGAAAACACTAGCAAGGTCTCTCGACATAGACTACCTGAGCTACGGTGCTCTCCACTGGTCTCGAGAGCACCTCTGTTCACGCTGCCGGTGCAGAGCGAGGCTATGATATACAAACCAGCGTCCTCCGCATCCCGGCCCACCTCGGTTTCTTCTCAAAAAGGACAGACGAAGATTTGAGAAGTTACGGACTTGTGATAGTACCGCATAATTGCAGTTCCCTGGTGTGAGTGGTGATGTATGTCTGAGTACTAAGTTGTGGCATACAGTTTTGGTTCGTCTTCACATGAAGAGCCTCAAAGTTGGGAGGTCACTCTAGGATTATGACGGTAGTCGTAGTCTCGAGATCAACATGTCCTGATGAGACGTCTAGACATCCCCGCGATGTTGAGCAACGGCACTTGAAGCGGCTCGGTGGAACGGCATGGGAGTTTACGGATACAGCATTGGGGTTCATAAGGTAAGGTAGTTCTTCTTTGGTTAGCTTATCGCCTAAAATTGGACGTAATGCCTATTAGACAAACGAGAGTATTGTATTGGTCCGCGGGCGGTTTGGCAGTCACTTTCTCGGGGACCTTCCTTGTGCGGGGTAGTGGAGGGCCAATCAAGCTTCCATTTAGAGGGGACGTATCCCAAGCAGCCGGGCCTTATCATCATCCCACCTTTTTCGCAGGTGGCCGCCGGTCCAGGCCCGTGGGCGGCGCAAACGGCCGCTCTCTCACTATCGAAGACGGCCACCTGCCTGTAATGTCTGAACTACCCTTTTGGTGCCAGCGAGTCTTCTAAACCCGTAATCTGTGGTTTTTCTTCTCACCAACACCTACAACAGCTCATGAAGACGAGTTTATCTGGCTGAGAGTCACCAACAATCTGCCAGGATGCATCTCGTCCCCAAGGAGGTTTGTACTCTTATCCATTTTGCCCAAAGTTTCCCTCTTACACATCCCTGTCGCCTTGGCGGGATTTGGTAGAGACAGCAGTGTTAACGCGGGACGTCGTGATTGTAGCTCGATAAGCTCGTCATCTCTCAATTAGGCTCCCTGGCACAGCGGCGGCTTGCCCGGGGCGTCAAATTGAACCACTCTGAAGCAACGGTATGAATACCTCTTCTTGCGGTGCTATCGCCGCACTCAAAGTTCGTATGCACTAACACGACTCAACCACAGGCACTCATCGCCAGCAACTTGCAAGAGCTCATCCGCGATGGTAACCACACCGTGGCCGACCTCATGAGCTTGGGTGCTACCATGCTAGGGAGGAGGCATGTGCTCCCCTCAGTCTGTAGTACCCTCCATGAGATCCAGGTCGAGGGCACCTTTCCCTCAGGGACCTACCTCGTGACTGTCCACAACCCCATCGCGACGGACGATGGAGACCTAGCACGCGCCTTATACGGCAGCTTTCTTCCCGTGCCCAGCAATGACCTCTTCTCGATGCCCGAAGTCGCGGCGTACGAGCCCAAGAAGGCACCCGGCGCCGTCGTCACCGCGGTGCGCAAGGTTGCGCTTAATGAGAAGCGCAACCGCATCAGGCTCAGGGTGAAGAGCAAGGGTGACCGCCCCATCCAGGTCGGCTCGCACTATCACTTCATCGAGACGAACCCGCAGCTCGAGTTTGACCGCGAGAAGTCGTACGGCTACCGGCTGGATATTCCCGCCGGAACTTCGGTACGTTTCGAGCCCGGTGATGTGAAGACGGTGACTCTCGTCGAGATTGGAGGCCACAAGGTCATCCGCGGCGGCAACAAGCTCGCCTCGGGTGGCGTCGAGCTCTGGCGCGCAAAGGAGATTGTAGAGAAGCTTCAGCTGGCCGGGTTCGCCCACGCACCGGAGCCCGAGGCCGTCATGAACTTTGCCGAGGTCTACCAGATGGAGAGGGCGGCGTACGCGACAATGTTCGGTCCCACCGTGGACGACCTGGTCCGGCTCGGCACCACCGACCTCTGGATCAAGGTGGAGAAGGACTTCACTGTGTACGGCGACGAGTGTAAGTTTGGCGGCGGCAAGACGTTGAGAGAAGGTATGGGCCAGGCGACGGGGCGGCCGGACTCAGAGTCTCTGGATATGGTCGTCACCAACGCCCTCATTGTTGACTGGACGGGCATCTACAAGGCCGACATTGGTGTAAAGGACGGTATGATTGTGGGTATTGGAAAGGCGGGTAACCCAGACGTCATGGACGGCGTGACACCGAACATGGTTGTCGGCAGCTGTACGGATGTCGTCGCTGGCGAGGGCAAGATTATCACTGCCGGCGGCATTGATACTCATATCCACTTCATCTGTCCACAACAAGCAAACGAGGCCGTCGCGTCAGGTATCACCACCATGCTTGGAGGTGGCACGGGACCAAGGTAAGAGAGCATTCCCCTGGATAGCAAGTCAGCTTGTTCCGTCGACTGACCAACCCCCTATAGTGCCGGCACGAGCGCCACAACCTGCACGCCCGGCAAGAACTACATGCGTGAGATGCTCCAGGCCTGCGACACTTTGCCCCTGAACATTGGCATCACGGGTAAGGGCAACGACTCGGCGCCCGAGGCCCTGCGCGACCAGGTCATCGCCGGCGCCTGTGGCCTCAAGCTCCACGAGGACTGGGGCACCACGCCCGCGGCCATCGACACGTGTCTCAGCGTCTGCGACGAGCTCGATGTGCAGTGCCTCATCCACACCGACACGCTCAACGAGTCCGGATTCGTCGAGTCCACCATCAACGCCTTTGCCGGGCGCACCATCCACACCTACCACACGGAGGGCGCCGGCGGCGGCCACGCGCCCGACATCATCTCCGTCGTCGAGCATCCCAACGTCCTGCCGTCGTCGACGAACCCGACGCGGCCCTACACCCGCAACACCCTGGACGAGCACCTCGACATGCTCATGGTCTGCCACCACCTCTCCAAGAACATCCCCGAGGACGTCGCTTTCGCCGAGTCGCGCATCCGCGCCGAGACCATTGCCGCCGAGGACGTCCTCCACGACCTGGGCGCCATCAGCATGATGTCGTCCGACTCGCAGGCCATGGGCCGCTGCGGCGAGGTCGTCCTCCGCACCTGGAACACGGCGCACAAGAACAAGGTCCAGCGCGGGTTCCTGCCCGAGGATGAGGGGACGGGCGCCGACAACTTCCGCGTCAAGCGCTATGTGAGCAAGTATACCATCAACCCGGCCGTCGCGCAGGGGTTCGGCCATCTGGTGGGCAGCATCGAGGTCGGAAAGCTTGCGGACTTGGTGGTCTGGGACCCGGCGTGGTTCGGCACGAAGCCGAATCTCGTCATCAAGAGCGGTCTCATCGCGTCCGCGCAAATGGTAAGTCTCTCCCTCCCTCTCGCTCTTTTGATCTCATAAATTTCATCGAGACAAAACAAAAGCACCGACTAACCAATCCTCTCAGGGCGACCCCAACGCCTCCATCCCGACAGTCCAACCCATCATCGCGCGCCCCATGTTCGCGCCCCTCGTGCCGGCCTCGTCGGTTCTCTTCGTCTCAGCCGCCTCCATCGCCTCGGGCGCCATCGCGTCGTACGGCCTCCGGAAGCGCGTCGAGGCCGTCAAGGGGTGCCGCACGGTCGGCAAGAAGGACATGCGGTTCAACGACAGCATGCCGCGGATGAGGGTCGACCCGGAGAGCTACACCGTCGAGGCGGACGGGGAAGTGTGCACCGCCGAGCCGTCTGATACGCTTCCCTTGACGCAGGCGTTTTACGTCTACTGAGGAGGATGATGATAATGGTGGATTTTCTGGTGTCGAGAGATCGTTTTCGACGGATATCGGAAATGGGATTTTGAGAAGTTTGGTGTTGTCGAGAAGATGAAGAAATTTTGATGAGAGGTAGCATTGGGTTGAGTCGTTGTGAGGGGAAAGGAGAAACATTTCAAAGCATGGCGGCATACGGGCGGGAGCTGGGATGGGATTATTTGGGGGTTTATTATTAATGACACATGAGAGAAGCTACCTTATGACAGGTTTCAAAAACAAAAAGCAATACAGCATTTATCTATTTCATGACTAAATCGGAACATCTGAACTCGAGACGTTGGGTAAAAAGTCTTGGCTGTCGTTCTGATAGAGTAATGCCAATACCCACCACCTCTCTATGCCCAGATGATCGAAAGGCAGATTCACCTTGAGATACTTACTAGTGAATGCTATCCAACCCGCGAGCTTTAAAGATACATGGGATATCTGTAGGCCTCCTTCAAGCTCTCAATCTGATGGGCCAAAAAAACAAGAAGAGAAGATGCCTACTCTTGGCAGGTGTTTTGGTTACTGTCCACATTCTCATATAACTTGGGAACTCATCCATCATCGGTTATATGTCCAAGATCCAAGAGGGAGGGGGCATGAAGTGAGCCTAGGTGCGAGGAACATTTTCTCAAGGCAACATACGCTCTAACCCGTAACCCGTCTTACGATTTCACTTCACTCTTTATTGGAGGCAAGCAGGATCAATGTTAAAAATCAAGATTGTTGATTCTCATGTCCATCATTATACATACAGGACTAACTGAAAACAAGCAAAGCCAGCCCAAACCGAAAGCCCATTGGATCCATAAACCGCCCACCTCAAGTTGAGGCGGTTTGTATCCTCTCACACACACGCACATATCCGTTGGAAAACCATCCCAATACCGCACGCCTTGTGAAATCATACACACCGCGTGCGCAGCGCAGTACACGCAACGACCGAGGACCGAAGTAGATGTGGTCCTTCCTTTTTTTTCCCTCCAGTCCAGAATCCCTAACCCCCCAGTATATCTGCGCCAACATATGGACAGCGAAGAAGAAAAAAAAGGGGGGGGGAGGATCGACGACAAGCTGCCGCGCAACGAGGTATCATCTTTGCAAAAACCCAGAAACCTAGAAACAAGAAAAGAAAAGGCTAGAAGAAGGGTGGGGTTGAAAGAAGCAAAACGCTTAGTTCTTGCCCTTCTTCGCTCTGCCCTTCTTGGCAGGCTCCGCCGACTCGGTGGCGTCAGCGGCCTTGGTAGATGTGCGGCGGCGCTTCTTGTCAGGGCTTGCGGGAGTGGCAGCGGCCTTGGCCTCGGGCTCGGCAGCGGGGGTGGCAGTCTTGCGCTTGCGGGTAGAGGCGGGCTTCTTAGGGGTCTTGACGGGGGCAGGGACTTCCTCCTCCTCTTCCTCTTCACCAGGAGCATCGACGGTGTTGGCCTGGTTAAGCTGCTCGGCGATGGCATCCTCGACATCGGGAACAACATCAACAGAGTTGACCTGGATGCTGTGCTCATCGGCGTAGCGGAGTGCGACATCGTCGTCCATGTTTCTGGCATCAAGGTTGCCACCCTGCTTGTAGGCGTGGACGCGAGCCTGATAGAGGCGGAGGTTGTACTGGTAGGCGCTGTTCCAGCCGGCCTTCTCCTGAGCGTTCATGGCCTTCCAGCGACGCTGACCCTCTTCCTGAACAGCACCCTTGGGGGCGGCATCACCGAGGTCGTTGGCGATTATGGGACGAGCGGTTTGCATGTACAGGAAGTAGGGAGTCAGGGGGCGCTTGGGAGCATTGGGGTCGTGGGTGCGCTTCTTGCGCTCCTTCTTCTCCTCAACAGGGGCAGGGTGGTAAGCGGGCTGGAGACCAAGGGCCAGGGGAGCAATGTTCTGGGCGGCGTGCTCCAAGGTGGCCATAGGGTGGTCAATGCCCGGGATACCCTCATGGGCAGGGTCGCCGAGAAGCAGGCTGGTCTGGCGGTAGTAGTCCTCGGAGAAGTTCTTGATCAACTCCAGGATGGTGATGAGGCGCTGGTGAACCTGGAAAGGGTGTTAGCATATTGTCTGATCAGGTATGTCTGAATAACAGGCAGTAAGATGTGTGAAGTGTGTAGCAGGGAGCGTATAGTGGGAAGAGCGCGAATGTAAGCTGAGCTGAGCTGAGCTCGAAGAGCTTCTGTGGGTCACAGCTCCCGCGACAGACGCGGGGTCACATTGGGCCATGTAAACAAAACGAGCACTCTGACGCAGCATGTTTGTGTTTTTCCCAGTGCCATTTTCTCGAAGCACATTTGGCTTATCAAATGTGCCCGACTTGTCTTTCACAGTTCCCAGCTGCATGTCTGAACAACAAGCACACGAGCACGTGACTGGCAATTCATGCCGAGAAACGCGTCGAAAAAATGGCAAGGCGATCAGATGCTCGAAGTCTGGTGGTAGTGAAAGCCAGTGATGACGCTGGCGCGTAATCGAGCCCATGCCACTTGGCCCGTGGTGGTGAACCGGGGAGCAAAGTAGGAAAAACAAAGCGGCGCGGAGTTGAGGTTGTGAGGGGATAGTGGAAATGGTGTCTCTTACCGAGTCGCGGACGCGAATGAAACCTTCGACATCAATGTGTCTCTGGGGGATCTGGAGGGGCTGCACGGGCTGAGCAGGCGCGACGGCAACGGCAGCGACGGGAGCGCTGGGGGTGGCGGCGAGGGCCTTCTTTGAGGGGCGAGGCATTGTGATGGTTGTGTTGTTGGTGGTTGTGGTGAGGTTGAGAGGATTTAGGGCCGATGGGCGCTGTAATCAAGTGCTGCTTTGACGCGACGATGGGGAATTGTCTCTTCGCTGGCGAGAGGCAAAAAGGTGCTGGTGTTTGGTGGAGTTTATTTTCTTCTCACACTTGAGGTGGCGCAAAGTGGAAGGGAAAGGGCGGTTGAGATTTGGGGGGTTTGGTGCCTGGGAAAGTGAAGAAATGGGGGAAAAGAGGGAAGGGGATGGGACGTTGGGGGGAGGGCCTGAGCCGAATATGTAGTGCAAACGGGGTGGGAGGGGTTTGGGAGTGATTTGGCACCTTTCGGGGGGGGCCAAGTGGGAAAGGGAAGAGGGGAATAAAAAAATTCAGGCACTTCGTTCTTGCCCGCCCCAAAAAAAAAAGTGAACTGGGCGAGTTTTGGGGGGCCTGCTCTGTCCCCCCCCCCTCCCCCCTCTTCTTTCTAGTTTCTACCTGTTCCATTCTCTTGCCCTGTCCTTTTTCTTGCCCAAGGCTCCAGCGGCAGCAGGCAATTCAGCCCAGGTAGCTTGCACGTTTATTCCCCTCTTTCCCGGTCTTCTTGCTGTTCCTGAATCCCCGGTGCTGCCGCTCCAGGTGTCGCCCGTGCCGCCAGACGGTTTATACGGTTTACCTCAATGGACGGGAGGCAATACCTTATTAGGTACCTTGCCTTAGGTATCTTACAAAGTCTCCACGCCTTCCGTCGTCTCTTGTCTACACTGGTGCCACCTATGGTAATAATGTAAACCTTCGTTCCCATTTTCCCACACTCTCTCTGCGCCAATATTGCCCTGAGGTGCCCGAATCCATCACCTGCGGCCTACCTTAGCAGCTCAGGTACCTTTGGCACCTTCCCTCAATCACATCATGCGACGCGCGAAAAAAGAGTGCCCGGTACCCCTGCAACTCCCAAGGGGATGCATCCACCTCAGCGCTGCTAATCAGTAATGGAAAACGAAAAAAGACCCTCCAGCCTGGCCCGATCAGTCTCGCCCACCTCAGCGCCTGCGCGCCCGGCCAAGCCAGAGGTTATGCCGCCTCAGCATCGTATTTTTGTGCACAAATGTGGCAAGCACACTGCCTCCACCAGACTCATTAAACTCTCAGGGCTTTCAGCGTTTTCCACTGCGCACGACGGGACGCTTCAATCCGCTCCATCAGGGCCATGAAGCAAAAAAGGCGACCGCTTTCGAGCAGAGAAAATACAGCGCCAGCCCACTCAGCTCCTGCCACCAGAAAAAGAGGCATGATAGTGACCATTTGAGCACACAATAAAGAGGCCACATGCAACAACTGGAGGCTCCAAGCTACAAGCTTTCCCTCCGCGTTCCGCCATTCCACTCCTCGTTCCCTTAGGTTACCTTACCTCGCCGAAAAAAGGTACCTACAAAAGGTACCGTTGGCAATCAGCTCCTCTCTCGGCATCGGCGCTCGTGTTGATTGCCGCCCAGCACAAATGGACTCGAGCAGCGAGCCTTGCGGGTTGTCTCTTTTCTGTACTTTGTTATTGTAAGCCAATGAACTGATTGTCGGAAACTCCTCTTTCTTGGGAGCAACGATATGCTTTTCTCGCTGCTACTATGTTTCTCGAGTTGTTCTGAGCATCTGCATGACTTATTCGTGGTCGTTGCGGACGCTGTAGTGCTCTAGTCGCGCTATCTGGTGTGCTGCTTCTCGCCATGATGCTCTGGCGGTACTCTCACTGTACTTTCAGCGGGGTGGTATTGGATGGTGACGGGATGCCTTGGAGTTTTTGCACTCTTTTTCTTCCTCCCTCGATGGCTGATTTTTGGTGACGGGCGCCCACATTTTCTGGCTGTGTGCAAGGTGCCATGACATACCTCGTCTCCCGTCATTTTAGCGGTACTGCCCTGTTGCCCAATGAGGGCCCTGCAATTGGGGCGTCTTCCTGCCCAGTGCCAGCCAGCAAGCTTCGGGTCCCGCCCGTTTTCCCAAGCCACCCGTGGGCCGCACTCAGGAGCATTGAGGAAAGAGCACAACACCCACGGCGCGCCTGCACTCTGTGCAGAAGGGGAGGAAAAACAATGACCGGGGGGAATGGGAACCCGACGGTGATTGCACCGCCCCCATCCCCGACCGACAATCTCTGACTCCCCTCACCCACACCACACACCGCACTCACTGACTCCCTCCTCTCCCTCTGTCAGTCTGTTCTCCATCGCCGGCTTGACAAGTTACCTACGGATACAGTGCTGTGCCCTCCAGGCCTTTAAAGCAGCAAGGCTTCTGGGGGATCGGGTACCTGCCCCTCCGCTGTGTCTGCCTGAAACTGACTGGGCACATCCAGTTCACTTCAGAGTCCAGACTCAGAGTCCTGGACTCGTAGCCTCGTAGGTACAGCAGCACCACATTACCGTACTATTCCGCCCCCCCCCGCAGTCTTCGACTCACTCTGGTCCCCGGGAACTTCTCGTTCTTCTCCTCGTCTCTTGTCCCCCGACAGCGGCCATTTTCTCAGGCCTTTCTCCACTGCTTTGCCCGACGATCCCTCATTGTCACCAACCTCAGAGCTTCCGGCCCCGTTATCGCAGCTGTGCTCTGCTGGCCTGCCTGAAGTCCTGGGCTCTCAGTCTGGACTCTACGCTGCCCGCCCAACACTCTCTTTCTTCCCACACTGAGCAGTTTCTCAGAACCCGAGTTCAGACTCGACAGCCAGGACGCTGAAAGCCTACTCCAGCCGAGGCCCCTCGTCTTTTCTTCCCAAAACACGGGTACCTTCGGCCAAGTAACAGGAACCCAGTCACACTCAGTGAGGTGGTCCTGTCAGGCACTGACTTGGTGAATACTCGCACCGCCGCCGCTCTTCTCACACTTCGTTATCGTGTTGGCCTTTCAGCGGCCATCAGCCAAACGAGGGAGGGTGACGGTGTTCGCTGGACGCCCGAGGAAGCCCAGCTCAGAGGGTTCCCCGCCCACTCATGCTCAGGAGTTGCACCGAGCAGCTCGGGTTGAGTAAGGTATTCAACCTTAGCGACGACAGCGAGCACCTTTTGGCTCCGCCAGCTGTTTTCTCTGGTTCGCAGTCTCAGTTTCCGTGAGGCTATTTGCTCAGCACCATTATCCGCAGAGGGACCGTCTGTTTCCCGCCGTCACTCATCAAACCAGTACACACACCCATAGCCTGTCTTCGGATGCGAAGTTGCGATCACTTTCAGGTCACCTTACCCAGGGCACCGCAGTGTATTCTCATTCACAAGAGACTGTAACCAAGTTTCGTTGCTTCCATCTCTGTGACAGTCCGTCCACGCCATGTACACCTACCTACCTAGCTCCAGGAGCCTGCCTGGTCGGCAACGGCGGTGCTGCTAACGACCCTGAACCAACTGTCTAAGAGTCTGAGAGGAGTTCTTGCTGACAACCACTGGAAAGCGGAAAGACCATGCTTGAAGCCAGATGCTCCCGTCCAGACTCACTAAGCACCTAGAGAGCTTCCACAAGCTAGGTATGAGCAATGTGCCCTTGCCTATGGAAAGAATTCCTCTACAGCAGTCCTCTGGAGGATCACAGTCATCCTGTGGGATGCAATCACATTGAAACACTTGGTCAGGCGTTTAGGACTTTAGACATGATGCTGTTCAACCTTTGATATCTGCCCATACTCCCCAGAGCTTGGGGGCGGCTGCCACTGTTTTGAGGCCTTTCCGAACAAGGTGTCCAAGATCCATCTAGGCGACCATCCTTCTCTGGTCTTTTCTCGGGAGGTGCAACCCCGAGAGGACGACCACACGGTGCTCGTTCACCACCGGTGTCAAGCCCGCGATAGTTTACCCCAGAGGCACGAGAAACATCGATGATGCCTCGTCAACTGGCAGAACTCAAATATTCTCGCCACTATGGTCAAGACAGCGTGCCGGGTCTGTCGTGATAGCCGTATCAACACCCGAAGTACGGAGTGAACAAATTCAAACGCGTTGATGGACAGCTCGCCCATACGCTCCAAGTATATCAAAGCAACGGGGTCTCCTCCAGATACCGCTGAGGCCGCAGAATTGCTCCCAGTATGGTGTTATTACGAAGCACTAAATCTGGACGGCACACCGAGCCCAGACCGAAGATTTCGTCGGGTTATATCCTTAGTAGCTAAAGGCCGCCCACCGTTCACAGGAATAGGTTGGTTTCATGGCAAGGTAAGTAGAACTCTGTTTACTGAACAAAATATCAGGCTGTTCTTAGTCTAATTCTTGCATCGGTGAAAGACATTCAAGTCTTCGTTGCACGTAAAGTCACTACTAGAGTTGCGGGTGCCTTACATGAGAAGGAGCACCGAGTGCTACTGCTGCACGCGATTATCTGGCACATCAAGCCTTCGGCTTCTAGGCGGGTTGAGCAATGTTCACAATCACGACACGGCGTACGAGAAATAATGTGATCTCTGCTGAGCTAGCAGGTCTGAGCAGAAGAAGGGAGTGCGGACGAGACTATCCAGTTGCTAATACTCCGTAACTTGCTTCTGCTTTGGTGAGTTGCACCCCTGCGAGACGCTGATCAACGGCCGCCAACGCGTGTTTCTCGCCTAATCATAACATTCAGACGCGACTCCGTAGACGTTCTGTAACGGCCTGTCTCATGCCACCCTGGAGAACCGCAGAACCAACCGATCAGGCGCCCATCCGAAGCTGCTGCTGTCTCTGGAGGGGGTGCAAGGATGTCTCACATTGTCTACATAGTAGGTGGCCAGATCGACAGCTTGATATGTTTATTCAACTCATCGACAGCTATGGCTCCTACAAGAGCTATGACGGGGTAGCCCAGGTCCCCGCTTCCAGGCTGTTTTCTGAGCTGTCCAGTCTGAGCTTGAGGGACCGGTCAACATGAACGCGCAAGTATACTGCATCATCACCGGTACAAGTTTAGTGAGTTGTCTCGGGGGTAGAATGAGTAGAAGACGCTCTATCGACAATATGTTCTCACGAAATTGGCGATGGACAGTTGTAACAGTGTACCGCGACATGTTTCCTCGTCCTACGCGCCATGGCAGATGAGAATGAGGTGCAGCAAGCTTCTGTTACGGGTAGAGCTGTCGCCAATAGAAGGCCCAGAAAGTTGAGCGGCTGTTCCACAGTGGAAAGCTGAGCTCAGCCCCCCACCACAAAAAAAAAAAAAGTGACCCCTCTCCTCTCCGAGTCTCCTCTCCGAGTCTCCTCTCCTCCCCGTGACACAAGAAAGTTCCCAAGAGTTCCCTCATCCCCCGACCCCGCCGCCAGAAACCGGCCTGACCGCCAACCGTCTCATCCCGT